GGTAGGGTAGGGTAGAATAGAATAGAATAGAATAGAATAGAATAGAATAGAATAGAATAGAATAGAATAGAATAGAATCTACTACCAGGTGAAACCCATTTACCAAGGTATCCATGGTCAATGCCACTTATTGGTTGTTTTTGTCACTCAGATTTCCACCCCAGATAAAGTCCTCATCCCAGAAAGGTATATTGAGCTGGAACCTGATACTCCACTGAGCCCTGAGGAGATGAAGGAGAAACAGAAGAAAGTGGAAAGGATAAAGACACTGATTGCTAAATCCAGGTGCAGCACTACTTTGCACATTTTGACTTTCCCACTGTGCCATCTGATCATTGAGCATGAATCTTCCTTTCATTCTGGAATATATTACTCTTGATTCGGAGGCCATATATTTAATCCTACTGCTCATTAACGGCACTGTCCAGTGGCTTCTTATTGTCCAGAGGTTGCCAATGCTGTATAAGTTTCATTCTTTTTTCTTCCTTCTCTTCTGAGGATCATGAAACACACTGTGTCCTGTCTGTACCTCTGGACTTCCAGGATACATCCCACAACAATTCTAATCTACAGTAGATAAGAAAATAACTTGTCTAAAATATTTATGGCCCCAAATTTCTCTCATTAGAAAATGAACAAAAATCTTTGTTTGCTTTGCAAAGGGGGAGAGAGGGATTGTGTTTGCAGTTTCAAAGTTAACTAAAAAGTGACTTTTAGTTAACTAAACTACAAAAGTTTTGTAGAGAAATTTAAAGTGTCAATTTTGGTTGTCTTTCTGAGGCTTTGAATTAAATATACCTCATGTTTAAACATGTAAAGCAGAGAAATGGAGATCATAGGGAACTTTCTGAAGTTCCTGCTTTTTTCCCACTTAGCTGCAATCAGGTTTCATCATGTTGAGTGGCAAAAAAATTATATTAAATAAATAGGATATTTCACATCTGCACGCATCTTATCTTACTGACCTTGTAGCTCTGAGTGTTGGGCTTGCCTTCTGGATGAGATGACTTGAGTGTTCTCTCTTGCAGCATGCAGAATGTCATCCCCCTCAATGAGGGAGAGATGGATGTGGCCCAGGACCCAGAGACCCAGTTACAGGAGCAGGAAAAGCGAATCGAGATTTCCTGCGCCTTAGCTACAGAAGCCTCCCGACGGGGCCGCATGCTGTCAGGTAAGCAAAATGCTCTGCAGCATTACAAAAAGATTAGGCAATGGAGCACCATATTCCCAATAAGAGCATAGCTTTTGTTTCCATTAGTGAACTTGGCCAGATATTATTTCTTCTGCATTTAAGTGTGGTGGTATTAGACATTATAGCAAAACCAATGAACTAGAGATCTAGCCTCCAAAATAAGATGGATTTGACAGTAGGAGTGGTAAAAATTAGCCATATAGGGGCCCTTGTTTAAATTCATTACAATTATTTATTAAAGGCTAGAAAATCGTCACAGGAGGCCAACACATGCTGTTGCACTGTTTTAGTTTTATTTTGAGATCAATGAGTCAAAAAGGCATTTTTCCATCACTGATACCAATTTCCAAACAATGTAAAACAATGAATTGGTCTGATTTGTCAAATGGCATATATGGTGGCAAGCATTTGACTGAATGGCAATGTCTTCTCCTTTAATTTGTAACCTCAAAGAAGCTGAGTCAGCAGCTCCCAACCACTTATATCTCCTTACTGTAGGTTAGCAGCAGGCAACCTTTCTACAGCTGGAGATCTGAACATTTTTAAAGCATTTTTTTTCCCCAAAGGCTGCAGGAATCACTAAAGGCAGTGAATATGGAATTTTGTGTTATTTTATTTTATTTCCAGAGGGAATGAGGATGGGGTTTTTTAAAGTAAAATCTGTGTGTTGAGCCGACCACAGGTAAATCAAAAAATTGCTGCCAGATTTTGTCCGTATGAGGCACTGTGGGTTGTACTCATGAGGGTTGCATGCAGCCCATTGACCAGACACTCCTCTGCCTTAAGTTATCTGTAAGCAACATCATTTTTTAGTGAACTGAATATACTACATTGCTGCCAATCTTGCAGGTAGCTCTGCTTTGTGCCTTGCCAATCTCTAGACTACAGGGGTGGTGAGGGTGCTGGATGAGTCTGCTCCCCAGCAACACCTCCTCCCTCACAGATCCCAGCAAGTTCCTCAGTTTACTGAAGAGCTGCAGGCAATGAAGATGGTAAAGGAATGTGAATGATACCAATCGTGACGGTATGGGAGTTTTTTTTTTTTTTTTTTATT